CTGTGATTCCTCTGGTGCACTCGTGGCCGCCAAATCTTTGCGGCTAAATTACCATCTGTCGCCTCTAATGGCAGAAATTCGTGGGATATTGGAAGGGCTGCGGCCTGCAATTTCTACGGATTGCTTGCGCAGTGAAGTGAAGTTGAATATGATTCTGTATCAGCAATCCGTCCAATTCAAGAACAAACTCCATCGATGGGGTATGAGGGAAGCTGGTTGATTGAGATCCATGTCCTAAAAGCAAATTTCGAATTCATTTCTTTCGATCATGCTTCTCGAAATTGTAATGTCCCTCCCCACCGTCTAGCAAAATGGGGACTCTCATGTGCTTTAGACACATGGTACTAGACTCATTCTTTTCCAAGATGGCTTTGTGATGTAATTCGAGGGGGATTCCCCTTCAAATCTTGCCATCGTGGAGTAATTTAATGAAACAAATACCTTTTAAAATATATATATATATATATATATTTCTAGAATAAATACTTTTAGAAATCTTTTAGTAAAAGCACTTTAATTATGAGCATTTTAGTAACGGAATGATCAATAACAACACATTTTGATGCTTGGTCCATCATTATTTTCTATTAATTACTTTTTGAGTGTATTCTAATCAAGCTCCATATACTTTTCAAGTTCTTTACACAAACCACTTTAATGTATTTTTTTTATTCTTATAATACTCTACGTTACTCCCACTTTTGCCCTAAAAATAGTACTTTCGAATTAATATCTTAATATCTATAGTTAATATTACTAACGAAATGGTGATATAATATGCTTATTAACTTGTCATATTATACTAATTCAGTCAAAATTTATCTAATCAACATACTGTATATATATATATTAAAATTTCATAAATTACAATGAATCTGAATTTAGTTCAATTTATTAAGATACATATTTTCAATCAAAAAGTTGTAAGTTGGAATCCTCGAGTTATTGTATTAAGAAAAGCATTTCATAAATTATAATTTAGAATTCAATAAAGTTTGGAAATGGTTAAAGTTCATAAAGTAATATTAAAAGTTTTTAAAATAAAATTCATATTTTAAAAAGGACAGATCTAAAATGAGATAAAATATTTATATTTTCATTGCTTTAGGTTAGTCCACGTACTTTTGAAATATTCATTTAGGTTTATGTACTTTAGGTTTATTTCTTTTGATTACAATTTTAACACGAGACTTTACTCAATAATTTTTTTTTTAACTATAGCCATAAACCTATATTAAGATATTTTCATTGATATAAAATTTGTGCTAAAACTTTCGACAGGGAGTATTAGAGTTGCAAGAACGGTAAACAAAGTCTTACATTTAGCTAGGGAAGAGGTCCGACAATCCATGATCCATGATATATAGGTGAAAAACAATTATCTCTATTATAACGAAGTCTTTTTGGTGAAATCAGAAGTAAAGTCAAGAGAGTTATTCCTGAAGTGAACAATTTCTTACCATTGTGACTTTTTCACTCTTCTGAATCCGGAAAAAAAAGAAAAAGAAAAAATTGTACTAAGTTGCTTTCACTTATTATTTGACACGTGAAAGAAATAAAATAAAATACGATTATATTCAATCTCAATAGTTTTCGCTTAGCTTTTATTTGGTCCTTATAATTTTTAAAATGTTTAATTTAATCTTATGTTTTGGGCGTAATTTTTATAGTCATAAAAGTTCCAATTTGATAGTTCGTTTGGTTAAAACTCACCAATCGCATCTCTACCTTTTACAAGACATCAACACGTGGTTTATTTACATAATAACGAGTCTATATTTCTATTTAATCAACGACATTATGTCTAAGTAAAAAATAGGAGAAATGTGTGAGTATAAAATAGTTTAGAGAAGTTTAGCTAAACTATAGAAATCAAATTGAAACTAAACTCAAATTACATGTACCAAAATGATTATATAGCTCGAAGTCAAGTTTTAATGTCGTATCGATCTATTTAGTTCTTTGAAAATTTATAATTATGTCATGAACTTTAACTTATACTTTTAATTAGACCATGTTAAAATACTTTTAGAATAAATACTTTTAGTAAAAGTACTTTATGAGCATTTTAGTAATACAATGATTAATTACACATTTTGATGCTAGGTCCTACATTCTTGTCTAGAAATACTTCTTAGTGTATTATAATCAAGCTCTTTGATCAAATGTAATTTGCACTTTAATGTATTCTTTACTTTATTTGTTCTTAATTAAAATATTTTATAATTACTTCCACTTTTTCACAAGAGTGCTTGTGTGTTTTGACTCTTAAAATTAAATTTAATATCTATTTCTTTTCTCGATCGAGTTGAAGGTAATAAATATCGTATTCAGTTAAACTATGTTTTGATCAACCTCTAAAATCTATCGTTAGTATTATTAATGAAATGATGATATGACATATTTATTAATTTGTAATATCATATCAATTCAGTAAAAAATTATCTAATCAACATATCATATTAACATTTTTTTGTGCAACAAAGTGGATGGTCTAGGTCGATTAGGTCAAGGTGAATCGATGAAGTGAGTTGGATGAACCAGAGTGTACAAAGAGATATCTTGGCGAGGAAGGACCTGCATCAAACACTTCGACGCTCAAGTCAATTAATGAGATCGACCTTGATATTAGACCGATATAGAATCAGATACTTGAATGCGAAGTAAGACCCCTTATTTAGAGGTTTGGGTGTCCGTCTAGCAATTGAGCATGTCGGATTGCAGCTATTCTTGTTGAATATGCTCGTGCTGGTCATGCATATTTTGATGTCTCTCTTCACTCAGAATTTGGCTAAGTGTAGCTAGTCGTTCCATGAGTGGTGGAACAAATGTCTGAGGCCGACCTGGTGGTCGGTTCTTAGATGATTGGACTTGATTGTTTCAAATCGAAGAACAGTTTGCCAACTCATTGTCCTCCACGTGGCAGTATTGTTTTACACCTCCAACATACTTCGTCAATGATATTCGATAAAGATTAAACAAAATTATATAATTAAAAAATGTTAATTGAAACTTTTAAGCTTGATATAGTAAATATTCCAATATTTAATATGAAGTTGATAATTTAAAAAGGACAGATCCAATCAAAAAATAAAATAATTAGTTAAAAAGTTTTTCAATTATTTGTTTACTCTACAAAATTGAACTGGGCGTGTCGTTTACTACTAATGAAGACACCCCATGTGCAACTTTAATCTTGGAAGATATAAAAACATATCTAAAAAATTTACTATTTCTTTTTTTTTTTACCAATAAATACAAAATGTACTCCAAAATATATATCTATTTTTAAGTTTAAAATAGTATTACTTTGGTTCTCGTAATTTGTCATTTATATAACATTTTGGCCCTATGCTATGAAAAGTTTGATTTTGCTTTCTATATTTTTAAGAAACTACAGTTTTCGTCTTTTTATATTTTAATATTAATATTTAGTATATGATTTGACTAAATTCAGTTTCCTAGTGTGTTTATCATTTTTTTCCTTAAAATACCAATTCAAAATATTAATAATACTTTTACTTTTATATATATAATATATATATATATATATATATAAATATAAATAAATGTGTATATATAATATAAAGAAAAAAGTTTGCTCAAACAATAAATATAAATATAGCTCAACTAATTAAGACATATACTGTGACACTCAAATAGAAATGAGGAATACATGAATGAATCGATACCACATCTGAATGATAGAGATCCTGAGATCATGGAAAAATGGTCAAAAAAGACTAAAAAAAATGATAGTCACTGCCTATCATAACAAGGTGTACTATCCTTTTCGATAATTCAGTCGTAAGAATTGCAAAGTTAAGCGTGTAATATATGTATTACTCTTTGCAAACTCCGTCGGAAGAACGATCTAAAGATTTGAAATTTGAAAAGAAAAAAAGAAAAGAAAGATAATAAACACCACCCTCAAAATTCAGGACAGTACAATTTACAAATTCTTGTCTCGTTGTAAAAATGTACTGTATTCACGGAGATAAAAGCTTACAAAATTATTGAACCACGTGAACAATATATAAAATAATTAATTTTTGTTTCTTACAAAATATATATATATATATATATATATATATATATATATATATATATTTAGATACATATATCAGTCTGCAAGTTGCGACTTACGAGATACAATTTGCCACTCTCTGACGGTGTTTTCTTTTTTCTTTTATTTCTTTTTTTAAAGGCTAAATTACAAAATATATCCCTTTTTTAGTACATTATAAAATATATCTTTAAAATTTTATTATTTGTTTAGAAAATAACTCTATCTTTTCAATATTTTCAATAATACCATCACTTTCATAAATATTTCAAAAATATTCTTGGAATAAATATCCATTAGTATTTTGAACATATAATTGGCATGATAGGATAAGAAACGATATGACAATTAAGACAAATTGAGTTAAGCAATTGAGAAACAAATTCTCTTGACAATAGAGAAAAGAACACTTTTCGGACAAAATTACAACATTAAACCTGATATCAATTGCCACATTGTTCCGATTCTAACCAGTCAAGTTTCCGTTTAAAATTTTAACAAATGTTTCTTCAAATGAATTTTTTTAAACGATTATGAAAAGTTAATAGTATTAAATCTTTTGAAACCACAGGTTTTCGAAATGTTAGATATCCAATACATGAATGAAGTTTACCCAATTTGTTAATTTAAATTTTTTGGTCGATTAGTGATTTATTCATCATTTACCAAAATGGGATCATGTGTTCGAACTTCCGCACTGTTGTTTCCTTCCCAGCTGTAGTCTTGTGAAAAAAATTCAGTAGTATTTTGTTTGTAATTTAGCTTTTCTTTTTGTCTCTATTATTGAGAATGAACGGTGGTGATTGGTCTGATCTTGAAGCAGCTCACATGGAAAATCCCAGCCCGTGACAGACAACCCAGTGTACAAGAACCTGCCCGTGTTCTTCCCTCCTCTCTGATCCTCTCACAGTTGTTACAGTTTCCCGCCAAATTGGATCATCATTTCATCACTTTATTGCCCAATTCTTCAATTTTTTTTCTTTTTTCTTTTTTATAGAAAAGAATAATTTTTTTTTCCTGCACAACAACCAGCGCACGCCTTTTTTCCCCGATTCAACGGAGTTTCTCTTTCCCCAAATCCAAATCCGAATCGCGAATCCCCCTCTGCTATAAATACCCATTTCCATGGCCGCTTTAATTCAACATCTCCGTCTTCCATTAACCCTTCCACCTTCTTCCCGTTATACGTCTCTGTTTTTTCGTTTCTCTCTTCCCTCTGTTCTTCGCTGTTCTTCCTCTGCGCCTGCTGGGTCCTCCTCGCCGGATTCTTCTGTTTCCTTCCCGGCGTTGCTTCCCGTTGCGGCGAGAAAACAGGGCATCATGACGGTTGGGGCTGGAATCACTTTGTCCGATGGGAATCTGACGGTGTTGGGTACCCCCGTTTTGTCTGATGTTCATAACAACATTACCGTCACGCCGGCGCCCGGTGGCGGCGTCATGAACGGGGCGTTCATCGGAGTTCAGTCCGATCAGACCGGTTGCCGCCGCGTCTTCCCTGTCGGCAAGTTAATGTATGTTTCTGGGTTTTGAAATTTAATTCGGTAGATTGAACTGAAATCTGGAAAAAGAAATTCATGAGTTTCGGGGTTTTTTATAATTTTGTTTGGCAGTGGATTGCGATTCTTGTGTGCTTTCCGATTCAAATTGTGGTGGATGACTCAGAGAATGGGAACTTCCGGCCAAGATATTCCGTTCGAAACTCAGTTTATGGTGGTGGAAGCGCGCGACGGCTCAAATATCTCTGGAAGTGAACAGGAATCCGCCGTATATACTGTGTTTCTTCCTATTCTGGAAGGAGATTTCAGAGCTGTGCTTCAAGGGAATGAGAACAATGAACTGGAAATCTGCTTAGAAAGTGGTAAGAAATTAAGAAACCAAACAGAATTAAAAAAGAAAGAACCCCATGATCATTGAAGAATGAACAAGCATCATAACAATAGGATGGATACTGAAAACCCAAAATACGAATAGAATTAAATGGATCCATAATTAATTGTACAGACCTGAACGTCGAACAAAGATATGGATCTTCCTCGACTATGCAACTCGAGCAACTGAAGAAGGATGGAATGCGTTTTTGGCCCTTAATTAAGACGACTCAATCTCGAGGCTTAATTTGATAATTAAAATGTTAAAGCTGAATCCAAATGAAGAGAATCTTCATGAACATGATTGTTGCTGTTGTTTTAATGGGGTTTGAATCTTGGGTTGCTTGCAGGGGATCCTGCTGTAGATGGGTTCGAAGGCAGCCATTTGGTGTTTGTGGCTGCTGGATCAGATCCATTTGAAACAATCACATACGCTGTGAAGTAAGTTTCAACACATTTTTTTAGTAATGTTTCTTGAATTAGTATAATTGTTGGCCAGATTTGATTAAAGATCCGGAAGATGAACATTTCTGTGGAAGTTTAAACTCTAGAGATCTGCTTTTCCAGTTGTTAAGTTTCTGTTGTTTCATTATATAGGTCTGTTGAGAAGCATTTGCAGACTTTTGCTCATCGTGAGAGGAAGAAGGTACTCTCCTCATCCCAATGAAGCACGCTTCCTTGGTTTCGAGCTCGCTCGTTTATGTATTTCCATCGTTTAATACTCTTGTCTGTTCCATGGCTGCAGATGCCTGATATGTTGAACTGGTTCGGCTGGTGTACGTGGGATGCGTTCTACACCGACGTCACTTCTGAAGGGGTCAAGCAAGGGCTCGAGAGGTAGTTTTTCTCGTGATTACATGTTCCTCAACTGTACGTGATTCTGATCTTGATGAAGGATATTGACATTTGACTTCTGCAGCTTTGAGAGTGGGGGAATTCCTCCCAAGTTTGTTATTATTGATGATGGATGGCAATCGGTTGGAAAGGATTCGACTAGCGCTGATTGCAAGGCTGATAACACTGCGAAGTAAGTTGCTGAATCGGGATAATGTTCGGTTTTCTTTGGTTGGTCAAAGGCTAGTCGGGCTAACTTGATTGTTCTTGATTCAGCTTTGCAAACAGGTTAACAGACATAAAAGAGAATCACAAATTTCAGAAAGATGGCAAGGAGGGTGAGAGAGTCGAGAATCCCAAGCTCGGTCTCCAGCATATGGTGTCCTACATGAAAGAAAAGCATGCCATGAAGTATGCGTTCCAAAATCGATAGTTTTTTCATTTCGTAGTTTAGAGTAGATGTACAATGAGATGCTTATGTGTTTCTTTGATTCTATCAGGTATGTCTATGTATGGCATGCCATAACAGGGTACTGGGGTGGTGTGAGTTCTGGTGTTAAAGAGATGGAACACTACGAGTCTAAGCTGGCGTACCCCGTAGCATCTCCCGGTGTCGAATCGAACGAGCCATGTGATGCTTTGAACAGCATCATGAAAACTGGACTTGGCCTTGTGAACCCTGAAAAAATTTTCAACTTCTACAATGAACAACACTCGTATCTTGCATCTGCTGGCGTCGATGGAGTTAAGGTCGATGTGCAAAATATTCTCGAAACGCTCGGGGCAGGGCATGGTGGGAGGGTGAAACTTGCTAGGAAATACCACCATGCTCTTGAGGCATCGATCTCTCGGAACTTCCGCGATAACGGGATCATTTCATGCATGAGTCACAATACTGATGCTTTATACAGGTAACTTTTATCTTCCATGTTTGATGAATGATCATATATATGGATCATGGATGTGTTTGTTTCAAAGCCTCAGTGTTTGACGTTTACGATTTCCTCAGTTCGAAGCGGAACGCTGTTATTCGAGCCTCAGATGATTTCTGGCCGAGAGATCCGGCATCTCACACGATTCATATAGCATCGGTTGCTTACAACTCCTTGTTTCTTGGGGAGTTTATGCAGCCAGATTGGGATATGTTCCATGTAAGGACTAGTCATTGTTGTTCTTGTGTCGATTTCAACTTGCTGGATGCTAACTTGAACTCTGGTTGATTTCAGAGTATGCATACTATGGCCGAATATCACGGTGCAGCTCGAGCCGTGGGAGGATGTGCTATATATGTCAGGTTCGATTTGTCGAGATCTATTAATATGTAAACTGTCTTTCGACTTCGATTGCGATCGACAAATTCTTATACTTTGATTTCGATTAACATTGTACAGCGACAAGCCTGGTCACCACGACTTCAATCTTTTGAAGAAGCTTGTGCTTTATGATGGTTCTATACTGAGGGCGAAGCTTCCCGGAAGACCAACCAAGGATTGCCTATTTACAGATCCCGCTAGGGATGGCATAAGGTTCGTATGAAGTCTAGTTTCGATGCGTCGATATGAACACATTATCCGGTTTCGTTACAGAATTGTATTCTAAAGAACTTGTGATCTTGCAGTCTCCTGAAGATATGGAATATGAACGATGTTTCGGGAGTTGTCGGGGTCTTTAACTGCCAAGGAGCAGGATGGTGCAAGGTCGGAAAGAAGAACCTGATTCACGACGTAAATCCTGGCACGATCACGGGGTTTATTCGGGCTAAGGATGTCAGTTATCTTCCAAAGATTGCGGGCGATACTTGGACAGGGGATGCAGTGATATTCTCCCATCTTACTGGTGAGTATTATTCCTTTAACCAGTTACAATCAACTCCACTCGATTCGAGAATTTGATCTTAAATTCACATTGTTCTTAATCATCCCCATTACATTGCAGGAGAAGTTGTCTACCTACCACAGGACGCTTCGATGCCGATAACGTTGAAACCGAAGGAATACGATGTCTTCACCGTCGTTCCTGTCAAGGAACTGGCGGATGGCATCAAGTTTGCTCCCATAGGTTTAATCAAGATGTTCAACTCCGGAGGAGCTGTGAAAGAACTGAACCATCAGCCTGGAAGTTCGAATGTATCACTGAAAGTTTGTGGTTCGGGGCCGTTCGGGGCGTATTCCTCGAGCCAACCGAAGCGAGTTGTGGTCGATTCGAAGGAGGTAGAGTTTGGATATGATGAGGGGTCTGGTTTCATCACCATTGATTTGAGGGTACCAGAGGAAGAGTTGTATCTTTGGAACATTAATGTTGAAGTACACTCATAAACTCAAAAAGAGTGATTCTTTTTTTGAATATCTCTGAGGGGTGAGGATCTGGTGGGGCTTTGGAATAGAAATATTCTTTTTCTTTCTTCTGAGATGAAATTCTTTTTTCTTTTTCTTTTCTTATTTTCCTCTAATGTAACCTTTTTGTAAACTCATTTTGTAATGGGAATAATGCCACTTTTAATGAAGTCAACAAAGCATTTGGATCTTCTTGTTGCATTTTTTTTTTCTTGAATTCTTATTTACAAAATTTTAATATAAATTTGATACCGAGTGGAAATCATTTCAGACTATATTTTAAGAGTGAAATATTCCAAACAGTTACTTTTTAAAAATATAGTAAAAAATACAAAAACGAAAATAAATACAACGATCAAAGCAGTATTTAAACCGGTGGCTAAGTTTCTTGGAGTCGGGAGAATTTTAAGTTCATGAGAAATGTCTCACTTGCTATTAAGATTTAAGAGATTATTAGCATTTTGTACTTAAACTTGTATATTAATAAACATCCAAATAATGAACTAAACGTGGTTCATTTATCATTCTCAATTTAATGTATATCTTTTTATGTTCATGGCCATTTTAAAGTTCCAAAAGGGCCAACACATTCAAATCTCCACCAACTGTATTAAGAAAAAATAGTCAAGATGTAGCTTTTGAAGCTGGTTATTTTATATATAAAGTAAATATTTAGGTCAAAATATTAAATTCTTTTTAGAAAATAGGAATAAGGTTGAATGTCTCATTTTGGTCAATATCATATTTAAAGATTTGTTTTTTTTTTACTTTAAATAAGTTTTTAAACAAAAAGATCAAGTACATGGAAAAAGAAAAGTTTGATTTGATATTCGAATATTAGTGACTTTTGAAAATAAGATAACATGAGTGGAACGGGTGAAAATAAGGAGTTTCTTATTTTTCTCATTTCCAATTTTATTGAGAAAATCTAAACATTTGACAATAATTTATTTTTCTTATTTTTTACTTTTTTGAAAACGTCCTCAAAACTGTATAGAACAAAATCAATTTTTCTTTTTCTAAGTCTTGTCTTCCATTTGTTCCAAAACATAACTAAAAGTATGATCCTATCATTTTTAAATTCATAGACGTTGAAACCATGTAATTATATTTCTCTTTGTTGAAAATGAGAACGTTACCAAATGAACCATAGATTGTATTCATCCTCCACGATATCTATACGTGGAATCCATCAAAGCACGTGACTCACGTTGGATACACGTGAATTTTGAATTGACAAAAAGTAGCATATTTTTTGTCAATATTTTATCCATATACCATACTTTTGAATATTATTTACATTGTTTTTAAAGAAAGAAGAGAGTATAAAAAGAATAATTTTTGTTCTGTGTAGGTTGAATCTCTCCCTAGACTATTTAGCACCAGAGTTTAATTTTAATATATATTTTTTTATATGTCTATGTTGAATTTTAAAATAGTAAAAGGTATTTGTGAAATACAATAATTTAAAAAAAAAAAAAGGTAAAATATATTTTGCAGCTCTGATTTATAAGCTCAAACTAGAAATTTATAAATTGCATTTATATTTAAATTTTGTAAACATATGTATGGGCTTATTCATTTTGGGCCCAAATGGGCTTATTCATTTTGGCCCAGCTTACATGACTCTTGATCTCCTAGCTTACATATCTCTTGATCTCCTTCAATCTCCTAGCTCATGTTTTACTTAGGTTTTAAAAAACACGAGCATAGTTCAGAAATAAAGATATATAATTCAATTTCTTGACATTGGAGGTTCAAAATTTTTATACTCTATATTAGTTTTACTAGAAAAAAAGTATTCAAGTCTTTGATTTCCAACATTAATACAGTACTATACTAATAAAAAATAAAAAACAAATCTTCATGAAATTATATGAACTTTAGACATCTAATCTTCATCTCGAACATGATTTTCCTAATGGACTAATCAATTTCACTTACCTTATATTAAAGAATAAATCTTACTTCATTAATTATATTAATGAGTACAAAGGTAAAACATCCCACAAAATGTACTTAAAAATTCATATTTGTCAAAAACTAGAGTTGTGTATTGTGGGAGTCAAAGGTGGCTTTGGATAAATCTACAAGATTTAGGGTTTAATTATTTTGTATTGTAAATTTAAATTGAATATGTTTCTTTCTATTAAGGTGTTTATTGTGTTATAATGATAAATAAGAATTTCATGATGGTCTTAATTAAATTAAGATTGCTATGTTTGTTGTGTTCCAACAATATTTGTTTATTTGCAATAAAATATTCACATATTTCAATAATATCTTATTCTTTTTTTGAAACATAATAAAGTCACAAACGCTACTGAAGCCACATTTGATACTGGTCAATTGTTATGATAACAATCCATTAAAGAACAAAAGATTTCAATAAAAAAAAAAAATGAGAATTTAAGTTTAAATCAATTTAAAATCCTTATATATCTCTGACCAAACAAAAATGAATTGGAAATTCCTAATCTGGTGGAAGGTTATTCTCCTTGGTTTTCAATAGTCAATGGACGTATTCAAATTGGATCAGTAATGGATTTTTAAGTTTCTTCACCATCTAATTAGTCCCTTTCAATTATATATCTAAATTATCCGTTCAAATTTCACTCAAAAGTAAAACATTCTCTACTCGTGCATGAACTTTTGTACCGAAATTAATAGTAATTACAATTTTTAGTCCCTTACGAGATTCCACATTATTTTTAAACGAGATTGACACGATTGACAATAAATGAGAGTAGTGTTTATATTATAGAGATATCTTCTATATGATGGTAGAAGCGGACCATTTGTTCAAAGTCTCCACCTCTCCTTGTCCAGATAAATTTTCCCTCCTCTTGTCTTTGTAGTTTTCTTAACCATATGACAACTTTTATCATTCAATCAAATGATTGTTTATCATTCCGATCCGGGTCTTATCTTATGGTTACAATTTTATTGTATATTGTCTTTGTCATTATTCTCAAAATTTTACTACATTGTACTGCTAATTAACATTCAGTTTCTCATCGTTCTAAATTATGTTATGTCTAAATTAAAGTTCAAATATTAATAGATGTCTACTCAAAGAGATATTTTTGAAATATTTTAAACATATCGAAAGTGAGTTTTTTATAAATATATAAGGAAATATTCACTTTTTACCTCGTGATGCCACGTGGAGTGAGTTTTAACGGGAGTACCATACATGTAGGAGTAGAAGAACGAATACAACACTCAACCTAGAGAGAGAAAAGGAAGAGAGAGAAGTTTGTTTGAGATGATAATGGAAGTGGGACCCACTCACCAATACCAATGGTAAAGGACAACACACACAAAAGGAAGGTGAATGAATTGTCACATTTGCATCACTACCAATAAAATCAGTTCTTTATTTATTATATATATATTTCTTTTTCCCCTCCCTTACTAATTTATCTCACATATATATATTCTCTAATAAAAAATCTTTTATGTATTTTAAATTTTCAAATACAGTAAAAAGTTTCAAATATGAATATTTTAAAATATAACCATTTCAGTAATATATCAATAGTATATTAGACACTCGTATGAATAGTATATTACATGTATATCATATACATATTGTACAAATACTCATATAGTATATCAGATATATATTATATACATATTGCAAGTATATCAGATACTTATATCAGTAGTATATCATAGACATATATTAATAGTCAGATATATAAGTTATTTTAAAATTGCACCTCCGTTTTTTTCTAAATTTTTAAAAAGTGCTATATTTGAAAAAACTAAATGCAGTTGCTATTTTACTAATTTTACTAAATGTTTTTGACATATTTGCAAGTGTTTCTATACTTTTTAATTTTTGTTACATTTTTTAAAATTTAAACCTTGTTTTCATTTTCTATCTTTTGTATCTATTTATTTTTATTTTTAAAATATTTAATATTGGTTAAATTATTATCCTAGTTGATCGACCCGTTTCACGAAGGTCCATCCAAGAAAAACGATCTCGTTAATTTTAAGGAGGAGCTAGTTATTTATCTTTCCCATTCTTGCTACTATGCCTCCAATTGCAACTGCAGTGGGAGTAGCTACTTGTTTCATGATCATATGCATTTAATCATTTCTACTTTAAAAGATTTTTAATAATCTCTAGACTTTTAAGATTACGTCTATTTAGCCCTTTTATTTAAAAATATTCTAATAGGTTCTTAAGCTTTCGATTATTTTTTCTTCTAATAGGTTTATGTGATTAACTCTATCAATTTAATGTTTTGTGATATATTTGTTGTTATTTAAGGATTATGTGACATCTTTATTTTGGGTATCTTATGACATTTAGTAGCATAAACATTAAATTGATGAAGTTAATGACAATAACTTATTATACACATAATTAAAAGTTTAGAAATATGTTAAAATATTTTTTAAGAAACCAAATAGCCACCGTTTAAAAGTTCATGTACCTATCATAAACGAACCAAGGACTAAAAAGACATAACTCTCATTTAAAAATAAAAACTAACTCTAAAAGTTCAGGAACTAAACAAATAATATAACCTTCGATCCTGAAACCTAACATTAAAGAAATCATTTAAATTATTTCTATTAATTGTTTTTAATAAATTACTTAATAGAAACTTAACATAGACATATTTTTTATATTTATGAGATAGTAAATATTTGAAGTCACGTGTAGAAATTTAGCAAGTTATAGATTGGGTTCAAAATATATTTAGATATATACTAAATAATTAATGAAAAAATTACACTATTTAAGAAAAAGTTTATAACATCATCAGATTTGTTTAAAAGTTGAGAGAATAAAATAGATTGTCAAAATATATATATACTATATTGTTTATTGCTCTTCTTGTTTATTAGTTCATTTAATATAGCAAAAGTTATTTGGAAAACTCATTCAAATTATATTTTTTTTTGTTGATGTTAAAATTTGGCCACTTGGAGAGCACGTAGAAAATTGGATAGGTCGAACTATTCAGAGCAAGCTATATATGTGAGATATATAAGATGGATAATAAACATTCCGACACTAGTAAGAACCTAACCTATAGCTCTCGAGATGAAGAATCAGATTGCATACCTTTGTACGGGGATGTTTTCTTTATTTATAGGTGAAAAAAGTGGATCATACATCTTGATTCTGTTAGACCGTTTGAAGAGTTTGTTACGCGATTAGAGATCGT